GTGCTATGATTCAGTTGAGTACTAGTAGCAATCGCAGTGCGTTTTTTCTCTTTCAAAGTCTCTAAATGTGTTCAACATTAGGAAAAGTCTTTCAGAAAAGGGTCAGCGAATCCGGAGGATGAGCGCTACTTGTGATCTGTTGCGAAGTTAGATGTTTGCTTCAGTGAACTGTTTTTGAAGCATGTGAGAAAAACAGAAATAAATGGGAATATTTCAGAAAAGTTGGGTTTCATATGTTAGGAAACTCATCTTCGGATCTGTTGATTTCCTTCCGGCTTCCGTATTTAAGGTTCCTGATGAAATTCGTTGGAGTTTCTTCCCGAAGTTTCCAAGATTTTACGTTCGAATACGATCGGAAACGGACGGACTTGGTCCGGGAAAGTCTGGCCTGGAATCCTGCGTCGCGAAATCGCCGGAATGTTTTAGATCCTGCCAGGTCAGAGCCAGATTGTTCGACCTGGGTACTGCATAAGAACGCACGAGAGTCAAATTTTCTTCGATTAATTGCCTTCTTTTGTAATTGCATGTCAGATATATTAGGAAAAGGGAAAGGAGGAAAGTCTATTATAGAAATGTCGAACAATTTAACTAATGTAATTAATATGAACATCCAACTGAGGATGATGGTGACAATACTCACTCAGTTTATCACTGTAGTTGGTTATATTTCCAGAGCAAATTGTGTCAAAGGAAAAATGTTGAACCATCTTGAAGATATCTTTACTGCCCTTCTAAATCTAATTGACGATTATCTAGCTCACCGTTGGTGTTCAACTTTGAAATATTCCTTCACAAATGCGTGTCAGTTCATTTTATTTGAATTTTGTGCATGAAAACAAAAACAAAGCAGAAAGTTATTTCGCTGCCATCATCGTGTTTCCTGATTCTTCCTTTCGCATTGGTTTTCCAGTACCGAAAGCGTAAACTCTCCAAAGAAGCTTTCTTGTTTGTCGTCTAAAAGATGGAGATGTCAAAATATAAATATAAAACGGGAGAGCCGTGTTGAAATACATCAGAAATGATTGAGTCATATAATTAATAAATGATTCGATTTGTTTTCGATCTTTTGATTTGGTCGCACTACTTGTAATCATATTATAAACAAGATAGATTGAAAATGGCAGTGTGCTTAACACGTAGAATAAAACTTCAACTAAAACCATTTTTAACAAATCTCGATCGCGTTTATGAAGTGTATTATTCATTCCTGGATGATTCAATGGAACATTCATATCCGTTGGTTTGATCCGAGCGCGCATTTGCTTCAAATTCTTCATTACTAACAGACTAAAAAACACAATCAGAAGCGGCGGTAAAACACCGGCGAATATCATGTAATAAATTGTATAAATCAATGAATATAGAGGGTCGAAAATGTTGCAGGACGAGTTTTCGATGGTTCGTATTGCAGCAAAGAAGATTACGATTAAGGCCCATAATATTCCGCCGATAATCACCATCCGTTTGGCGATTCTGTATTGACTGAATGTTCGAATAGTCGCATCCATGCTACTCAGAGCAAAACGATCAATACACGCTAAAACTTTATAATGCCTCATCATTTGAAACGAAGTATGACGAACGTAAAATTGAACTTTGCAGGAAACAACTGAAACTGTACTGATATCAGCATGATCCAATGAGAATATGATTGGAATGATACCAACATCAAGACAAATCAGATTACAAATTGTCATCCATAATAAATAGAAAGAACAGGGATTGTGGCGATGACTTCGCTGAGCAAAGATCGCGATGATTAACAAATTTCCGAGGTTTCCCAAGGCAACGTAAGTACTCATGCCATAACGGATGGAGAATTGTTGAACGACGGATAGAGATGTTGTTAAAGACATGGAAAGAAATGGGTATGATGTAGAAAATTAGTCAGGATTTTATATCATAATGAACATATTCATCTTTTTAATTATGAAAATCTTTCGCTTAGAAACTCAGTGTGTTACTAATGAAATGCCAGTAGATTCAAATATTTATCGAGCTGTCTTTTACAAATTAAAATAGCATATCCTCAGTGTAGGAGAAAGTACTTTTTCTAGGACCATTCATGAAAAAAAAATGAGTATAAACATATTCTTCTTGAAAGAATTATACGACGACGAGACAGTTTGCGATGTGTGTTCAAGTGTTGATGATTTTCTCTTCTACTAAACTGAATAATGTTTATTACATTGACCTTAATGAGAATCTCTTTAAAAAACGGTCAACTCAGCATGTCTTCATTTTATGAATGGAGATTTCACTAAGCTCATCTTTAATTATCTCTCATGCAACATCCGAAAATGAACTACACTGATATAATTAATGCAGAATTGCTCTTGAAAAATACAATCTCCAAATGGAGAATTAATTGAAAAGGGAGACAGTCATCAGAATGTATGAGAGAATGCAATATTTCTGTAACAACAATCATTTTCTACTCAATGAGACACTCATAACGAATCATGACAGAAACGTACTTCAATGAGTAATCTTCTTCAAATTTGCCTTAATTTTTATCTTTGAAAACATGCTATTTACATTTGTCTTCAAGAAGAAGCTTATCCACTAAGAAAAACATGAATAATTTAGGTAAAACTATAATAAGCAGATTTGATGTTGCACGATAAAATGCGAAGAACAAACATCTACCTTTATTGCAATTCATACAAGAATAACTTTTTTTTTCATTTGTCACGTTCGACCAGTGCATGACATTGAAACACCATTGAATCATTTATTTTATTTTTACACAACACAGAGACATGGTCGTGAACATTTTTTTTCTTTCTACTCTATCGAAAAATCAGTCGAGCATGTCTATCACATAGAAGAAACGAAGCATTGTTGAATACGTTCGTATAACGGCATCTTTTTTGTACAAATAAAAATGTCATGCAATGTTTGTCTCCGTCAAATATCATCCCAAGTCCTCGGTTACTTTTGCATATCCATTTTCTTTGTCTTAACAACTCATATTGTTTATGTTTACTACACAATATTAATTCCAAATGCATTCAAGACACAACATTATGCGAAATTTCTTTTTCATCTCACATTTGGACAGTGGATCGCGATGAATATTTACTTTAATTACATTATGGCTTGGTTTACATCGCCTGGTCTGGTGAAAGATCATCCAAAACTATCCGACGAATACCCTCTTTGTAAACAATGCTCGTTATATAAACCACCACGGGCTCATCATTGTCGCTGGTGTAATTTATGTGTCTTAAAATTCGATCATCATTGTCCATGTAAGTTGAAAACTTTCTAACCGGTTTGATTTCTTTTTTCTGGTTAGGGTTGAACAATTGTGTTGGTTTTTATAATCATCGATATTTCTTTCAATTTTGTTGTTACATGTCTATCGGGTGTTATTATGCAGGAACGATGGGCTTTCATGAATTTCAAGTTGCACTTTTCGGCGAACAGATGTAAGTCATTTTCACATTCATCCGTTCCGTATTTTTTGTGTTTCTGTTCAGATTTTCTCAATTAGATTCATTTTTAAAACCAATNCAACTGAAACTGTACTGATATCAGCATGATCCAATGAGAATATGATTGGAATGATACCAACATCAAGACAAATCAGATTACAAATTGTCATCCATAATAAATAGAAAGAACAGGGATTGTGACGATGACTTCGCTGAGCAAAGATCGCGATGATTAACAAATTTCCGAGATTCCCCAAGGCAACGTAAGTACTCATGCCATAACGAGTGAAGAATTGCTGAACGGTGAATAGAGATGCTGCTGAAGACATGGAAAGAAATGAGTATGAAGTAGAAAATTAGTCAGGATTTTATATCATGATGAGCATATTCATCTTGTTAGCTATGAAAACCTTTCGCGTAGAAACTCGCAGTGTGTTATTAATGAAATGCCAGTAGATTCAAATATTTATCGAGCTGTCTTTTATAAATTAAAATAGCATGTCTTCAGTGTAGGAGAAAGTACTTTTTCTAGGACCATTCATGAGAAAAAAACATTGAGTATAAACATATTCTTCTTGAAAGACCTATACGAAGATGAGACAGTTTGCGATGTGTGTTCAAGTGTTGATGATCTTCTCTTCTAATAAACTGAATAATGTTTATTACATTGACCTTAATTACAATCTTTTTGAAAAACGGTCAACTCAGCATGTCTTCATTTTATGAATGGAGATTTCACGAAGCTCATCTTTAATTATCTCTCATGCAACATCCGAAAATGAACTACACAGTTATTATTAATGCAAAATTGCTCTAGAAAAATACAATCTCCAAAAGGAAAATCAATTAAAAAGGGAGACAGTCACAATCTATGGGAAAATACAATATTTCTGTAGCAACAATATTTTTCAACTCAATGAGACAGTCATTATACGTCATGACAGGAATGTCCTTCAATAAGTAACCTTCGTCGAATTTGCTTGAATTTTTATTCTTGAAAAAATGCTATTTATATTTTATCTTCACTGAAAAAGCTTATTCACTAAGAAAAACATGAATAATTTAGGTAAAACTAATAAGCGGATGGGATGTTGCGCGATAAAATGCGAAGAACAAACATCTGCCTTTATTGCAATTCATACAAGAATAACTGTTTTTTTATTTGTCACGTTCGACCAGTGCATGACATTGAAACACCATTAAATCATCTATTTCGTTTCTGCACAACACAAAGACATGATCGTGAACATTTTTTTCCTTTCTATTCTATCGAAAAATCAGTCGAGCATATCTACCACATAGAAGAAACGAAGCATTTGTTGAATACGTTCGCATATCAGCATCTTTTCCGCACAAATAAACATGTCATGCAATGTTTGTCTTCGTCAAATATCATCACAAGTCCTTGGTTACTTTTGCATATCCATCTTCTTTGTCTTGACAACTCATATTGTTTATGTTTACTACACAATATTAATTCCAAATGCATTCAAAACACAACATTATGCGAAATTTCTTTTTCATCTCACATTTGGACAGTGGATCGCGATGAATATTTACTTTAATTACATTATGGCCTGGTTTACATCACCTGGTCTGGTGAAAGATCACCCAAAACTATCCGACGAATACCCTCGTTGTAAAAAATGCTCGTTATATAAACCACCACGAGCTCATCATTGTCGCTGGTGTAATTTATGTGTCTTAAAATTCGATCATCACTGTCCATGTAAGTTGAAAATTTTCTTATCGGTTTGATTTCTTTTTTTCCTATTAGGGTTGAACAATTGTGTTGGTTTTTATAATCATCGATATTTCTTTCAATTTTGTTGTTACATGTCTATCGGATGTTACTATGCAGGAACGATGGGCTTTCACGAATTTCAAGTCGCACTTTTCGGCAAACAGATGTAAGTCATTTTCACATTCATCCGTTCCGTATCTTTTTTTGTGTTTCTGTTTAGATTTTCTCAATTAGATTCATTTTTAAAACCAATGGCGATCATCAGTGAAATGTCTATGGCTGATTACATAACATATTTCGTGTTTATTGCTGCATTTACAACAAGTTTTCTCTTGGTAATTCTTATCTATCGACACATCCGAACAATCAGTCGTGGAATCACATCGGTCGAACGTTTACTTCATAAAGATTATGCTCGACAATGTCGCGAGCAGAATCATACATTTGTTAATCCTTACGATTTTGGTGTACTCGAAAATTGGAAACGGTTTTTGAATGTTTATACATTTGGTGAATTCGTCCGACGCGTTCTTTTTCCAAGTACACATAAACCTCGAGGAAATGGAATCATTTGGTCGGGTTGTAATGATCAAACGTATTTACAAACCCATCGATCGGATTCAAGATTATCAGTACAACCTCTTTCATTTCCACCCGAAGCTTATCAATACATTTCCGCAGCTTATCCAAATCGAAGATATTTAACAGAAAAGAAAATACAATAAATTCTTTTCCTTTCAATCAATCGTGTTCGATATGAAGACCGTTGGCAAAAAAAACAGAAGTTGAGCTGCACTATGTGTACCCTCAAGCTTTTTTCTTATTCTAAATTATTGGTGCCACACGATTAATCTCTACCTGTCGGCATCGGATTTCCATGTATTTTCATATATATTTTTGAACAAATGGAATTTGAATGAGATCTGCTTTGACAAAGTGAACATTCGTAATCGCATCTGGTAAACGAATAAATAAAGTCATCGCTATCAATCGTTTTCCCAATTCTCATCAAATCGAACCAGCGGAATTGTATAATGACGTAGTTTTTCGAACATTCCCATAAGACATTGTTCCGAATAGAACAGTAACAAATAATGACTAAATGACTAAAAACATCAATTGCAGAACATAAGAGCGATATTGCAAATAGAATGAGAGTTGTGACCAAACACGTTGTTCTATTTGTAGTTAAAAGAGAGACTATGGAATTCCATATAAGAACCGAATAAGAACAAGCGATATAATCGAAACACTTTGAGCTAATTTAAATGACACAACTTTCGTCAACACGGAAACGGATAAGTTGCACAAAATTAATCAATATTTGATTTAGGTCTGTTGTACCATAAAATTTAACGACGACATGAAGAATGCGAGGTCTTTTTAATTATGTAAGAGAAAATCTTACTTTGTTAAGCATGAAATATATCTAATTCTCTCTTTCGTGACTCTCACTACAAACAGCCAATGGAAAATGATATTTCATTGTTGAATAATTAAACTATCCATGTAGAGATCATCTATTAATTTTATTTAAACTTTCCTGATCTTTGGAATTTCATTTCTTGTTTCTTATAGACAGTTATTTATTTATTTTCACGAAAATTATATGAAAACGTTGTAGTTGATTATAAAATTATAGTGGAATGCCTCCTTAAATGGACTCATCGTTGAAAACTAAAATTGATATTCTTATGCGTGACTTTCATTAATGAAAGAAAGAAGACGTTCAATTAATCCTTTGAGTTTTCACAGGTGTCTGATGAATGGAGAATGAAAAACTTTTCTTTTTAAATAAAGTTGTTTTCATTTACATTCAAGAATCTATAAAAAAGCAAGACTCACGACGAAACCTATTCATCTGTACTTTGGGACTTTCCTTGTTCATCTTAGTAATTCGCCGATGATGATATTATTCTAAATGAGACAAGTTCAGAAGGTTCGCATCAGTGTCACCATTTATCGTTATATTTGATGATTAGTTTTTCTACTTTGAATGCATTTTTTATTACTGTTATTTTTTATTTTACGTCTTTTTTGTATGATAAGCGTGCGCATTCAAGTGAATCTTCTATATCTTTTTTACACGTATGCGAAAAATAAAGTACTGTTGAACACGCCGACATGTTTTTTATTGATGAAATTATGTGATATTTCATCTCTATCTCAACGTCGTCTACATCCGCTTTGAGTTATTAACTCTTACCACCATTACATATTCTATATAGATGAAGGATATGACACTCAGATTGATGTATGTTTTTAAAATTATAGTTTAGCAGAATGGTTGCTACTTTGAATGACAACTAAACGGATAAAACATGTGACGAAATATTTGTACATACCCTGCCACCAGACGAATATTTCTTAACCGAAAAAATTGTGAATGTCTAGAAATTCTTCTATAATATTCAATACCATCGTCATCTATTAAAGATTTATAAATGAAATTCACGCTTAATCTATATACAGAATATTTCTCATCAACGATGCATATTAACTTCTGATTAATATAACAAACTACGCAGGATGTTTTCTATAATAGGTCATTGACGAGTAAGGTACGTATCCAAATAAATCAGTCGTACGCATCAGTACACATAATGTCGTAGAACACTCGTTGCACCTGTACGAGGACTAATCATTCGAGCTAGTAATCGTGTTGGCGTCAATTAAAAATGTGATTAGATCCAAATCGCGAAAGCCAGTTTTCTCATTGCGTAAATGAAAGAGAAAAAGAAAAAGAAAAATAACAACGAATAACAAAATAAAATAAGAGAATCTTTACTGGTATATAATGAGTGAAAATCGCTGATATTTTCACATTCGAACTACGATTACATTAACAATATACAAATCACAGTAAGTATTGTTTTTGTTTGTCGTATTAAAAACTGCGGATCACTTGACGATACGGATTTGTTGACGTTATCCTTCTTATAGTGTATATAAATATTTTCTACAACGAGCATTTGAATTTAGTAGAATTTAACGATTTCCGAGTGCCCGTATACAGTAAGAATTACAGGTATAATGATACTGACATCAAACAACGTTAGTAGTATTTAGGATGGTATTCTAAATGTTTACCTTTGTCCATTATCTTGAGAGCATTTATTCTAGAATACCGTTAGTTCACTTCCAACTTTTTAGAAGTCGTCATGGGTGACACCAATGATTATCTTCTTCGTAATCGTGATGGAAAATGGACATCGTATTCATTATGCTTGATCATTTCTTGTGCTCTATGTGCTCTTGGTGTTATAGCAGTAGTTATTGTACTTGCCCTTCTTCCCATCTATCTCAAGGACAAAGGAGAGGATATGGAAACTACTACAAGTATGCGTCACATTTATCTTCTTGATACACTATTCTCTATTGTTTATTTTCAGACAAGGCATTGTTTGAAGTGAATTATAATACGCCTATGGTCGTTTCATCAACCACGGAAGTGACCGACTTGGATTCTTTGAGTAACGAGGTAAGTAGTTACTACTTGTCTGGGCATGATTATTGTGTTTGTCTATAGATGAATAAGGCATTGGATGTCAGCGAAATCAGAATTAGTTTTGCTCAATTGATCTCAACATCTAGTGGAAAAAAGAAAAGACGCGAGTAAGTTCAATGCGATTGAGTTGTTGTTTCATCTTAATCATGTCATTGAAGAACAAAAAAATGTGAAAATAACGAAAACGCCAATGCCAATGTTTTTGTTATTCAATTCTACACCGACTTTTCAAAAACATGCCGAACATCAAAATGCCAACAAGATACTATTAACAAAATTACTTTACATGTTCGAACACGTTTAACACAAATTACAATTTCAACTTCACTAGCAAATGGTGCCAGTGTCACACTTTCGTTATCGTTTTGCTCAATGATACGAATCACTGGCGATCCAGGTTTGTATATTTATACTAGAAAAAAAAGAGTACAGAAAAGAAGTCCATTGATTGTCTATCTATACCTCCAGAATCGATCATGGAAAAAATCAACAGAATATAATGCGGTCTTAGTATAGCAGAAGATTTCATCTATTTTAGGATTACATTGTGCTTTGCGAACGCGATGTTAGATAAGGGAGAAATATCCTTAGGTCCGCAATTGCTAAAATAAGAGGGAAGGTTCGGAGCGGTCCCTCACATTTTCATAAGTGACTAACAGTGGGTCTTGACAATGTTCGTATAATCAATTTTGAAGAAAAATAACTAGTAGATACGTAGATTATAAACGCAAATATGAACTTCTTTTCTAGTTGCAACTTGTTATGATAATATCCAAAATCAAAATGAGACTGGTACAGACTGTGGTGGTATATGTGCACCAGAACGACAATGTACAGATGGATCAAGTTGCGTTGTGGCTAATGACTGTACCGGCAATGTTTGTGCATCAAGCATTTGCTTACGTAAATATCTTACTGTTCCCACGACGTAAAAGCTCATTCTATTTATTATAGCTGCAAATTGTGGAAATGGTCTAAAGGATAGCAATGAAACAGGAGTAGACTGTGGGGCAGTGTGTGCAGCTGGGAAAAAATGTTCAGCTTATGCCGGTTGTCAAAGAGCATTTGACTGCACAAGTGCTGTTTGTGCGTCTGGCGTCTGCTTGCGTATGCAACCGTTTCTTCTAGACTATAGATTATTTACTCTTCCATTTTCAGCCACCACCTGTAATAACAATGTACAAGATCTTAGTGAAACTGGAGTAGATTGTGGTGGATCTTGTGCACTTGGAAAGAAATGTGTTGATGGTGGACGGTGCAACGTATCTACAGATTGTAGCAGTAATCTATGCGTCTCACAGGTTTGCTTACGTAAGTACATCATGCTTCTTCCAATGAACAAAATAGCTGATATAACCTCTTTTGACAGCAACGCAATGCGCTAATGGTGTACAAGATAACGGCGAAACAGGAACAGACTGCGGAGGACCATGTGCAGTCGGAAAAAAATGTGCTGACGGAGGACGATGCACTGTAAATGCTGACTGTACCAGCAACGTATGCTCTATACAACTGTGCTTACGTAAGTAGATAATTGTTTCTAAATGAACTAAACAACGGAATGTGCCTATTCGTAGCACGTCAGTGTGGTAATGGTGTTCAAGACAATGGTGAGACCGGAACAGACTGTGGAGGACCATGTGCAGCCGGAAAGAAATGTGCTGATGCATCGCAGTGTACTGTACCTGCTGATTGTAGCAGTAATCTATGTGTTTCGCAACTTTGTCTACGTAAGTGCTTCCAATTTATAGGTAAACTATACAACCGATAATCCCCTTTAACAGCAAGCAAATGTGCTAATGGTGTTCAAGACAACGGTGAAACTGGAGTGGATTGTGGAGGACCATGTGCAGCCGGAAAGAAATGTGCTGACGCATCGCAGTGTACTGTGTCTGCTGATTGTAACAGTAACGTGTGCGCTACACAAATTTGCCTACGTAAGCGCATCATGCTTTGTAATGAATTTTGTGGTTAAATGCCTGTTTTTCGTAGCGAGTCAATGTGGTAATGGTGTTCAAGATAGTGGCGAGACGGGAACAGATTGCGGAGGACCATGTGCAGCTGGAAAAAAGTGTGCTGACGCATCGCAGTGTACTGTACCTGCTGATTGCAGCAGTAACGTGTGCGCTACACAAATTTGCCTACGTAAGCGCATCATGCTTTGTGATGAATTTTGTGGCTGAAAGGCCGTTTTTTGTAGCGAGTCAATGTGGTAATGGTGTTCAA